GGGACTGGTATAAGTACAATAACGCTAACATATATTGATGGGTCGGTCTTGAGATAAAGGTTCACGTTGTAGCTGAGGGGTCGACCGTGATACGAGGACGATAACATTGAGGGCTGATCTGACATACGATGACTTCAATTTTCTGACTAAGCAAAGGTCCTTCTTGACCGAGTTGAATTTGGATGGAATGAATGCTCTATTTTAGCCGAGGTCACCCTGGCTGGGACAAATACCTGCTTGGCCAAGTTTAAGCTCCTGCTGCTTTTTAAGCCATATGTAAAGCTTCCAGTTATGGGTATATGACGATGCCTTGGTGAATCTTTAGATGAGGGTTGCCATACTCTATTTTATTGTCTTTTTTTTTTCCTGGCTGAGGTAAAGCATTTATATACTTAAGGCTTAAGCTGACTTTTCACTTGTTCGATATTGAGTGTAATGATGTCCTTGGTCGAGGTGAAGCTTCTGGCGACCCTAGGTCGTCGTTAAAACCTCTTGCACCTTATGAGCCGAGGGTGGAACCCCTGTTTGCTTTCGAGCGCGGAGTCAAATTAAGGGTAGACGTCTGAGGTGCCTTAGGGATTCATCACTTTGGCTAATGGGTCTCCCTTCCTCGTTTGTTTTGACGAGTGGGTGATCGGGCCGATTAGCTCCCGCTGCTATGCTTCTGGTTGAGGTGATGGGCATCTTAACCGAGGGGTAAACTCGAGAGAGGTAGATGATGAGGCATCAGATGTGGTTGCCTTACCTATCCTTGGCCGCTGATAGGTGGAGTTGTGTGATGACAAGACCACCATCAGATTTGCTTGCGTGAGGCCCTAATTCTACTCTCTTGTTGTTTTTTCTTAATATGTTCTAATAAGTTGTCCCGTTCACTAATTGAGTCGAAATGTTATTCAAAGAGGGGTTATGGTTGTCCCTGATTGGGGTGAGGTGCTTTGATGAGGTGTAACGACTTAGGGCTAGGACCGGTTCGGTTCTTACTCAAAATGAGTGTAACCGTTATAAAAGTTTTAACTTATGAAATTGGTTCGGTTCCTATATAAAAAATCAAGAACCATTATCGAACCGGTAGTAAACGGTTCGGTTCTTCCTTTTACCGGTTCCTAGAATAATTTTTTCTCGTCTAAGAATTAACACATAATTTTAAACACGTCGAAAATTCAAAACACGAGTATTAAAATTTTATTTGAAGCTCTAATCACTTCAAACATCAAAGCTCAAACTTAAATAATGAACTTTGAACACTTAATAGAACAAAAGTGATTTAAATTTTCATGTAATAAATGAAACATTAAAAATCGTTGTAGTGTCGGAGCGATGAAGGTTACTCGTCATCATAGTAGCAAGAATAGGACGTCTACTTCAAGTCTTTCATAACATAAAAAAAGACATTGAGTTTTCATGTATAGATCTAAAAAAACATTATTACATTCTATTGATTCATAATAAATCTAATAGAAATTACTTCAAATAGGACTAAAACTATGGCAAAAACTCAAATAAGACTTGCTATGTTTTTTATTCCAAAATAGGACCATAGTGGTCCTATTGGAAACATACCCATTTCTTCCTTCCATGCTTACCACTCCTTTAAATATTAGTAAAAGATAGCTAAAAGTCATAATTAAATGTTTAATTCATAATAAATTCGAAAAAATTTCAATAATGCGTAGAAAAATAATAAAAAAAATCAATAAATTTTTATAAAATAAAAAATAAGATTTTTTTTTAATTTTTTTTTTAAAATTAATAAAAAAAAATAGTAAAACTCCATAAAAAAATTAAAAAAATTATGGATACCTTTCCCACCGCCTATAGTACCTCCCTGAACCACCACTTCCGATTGATGTAAAAAATGCGACTTTTTTTTTTTAAATTCCACAAAAAAGGCATATTTCTCTATGAGAATGCCAACATTTTCATTCTGCCAACTTAAATCCTTTTGACTTTTGCCAAAAATATGGCATTCATAATTGTTCTAGCATTTTTTTACCCCGGTGACAGGAGGTGGTGTTACCGCCTCCCTGCACCACCACCTCCGACCGTTAAAAAAATGTCATATTTCCTACAAACTTCCATTTTTTCGGAAAATGCCAAAAATATGACATATTTCTCTTTGACAATGCCAACATTTTTTTCCTGTCATCTTAAATCATTCTGAATTATGCCAAAAATATAGAATTCATAATAAATTTGGCATTTTTTCCCAAAATGACTAGAGGTGGTGGTACTGGGGCGGCAGAGGCGGCGGTGACAAAAAAGTTGATTTTTTTAAAAAAAAAATTATCACTATTCAAATTTTTTTTATTAATTTTTTGGTATATTTTACGAATTTTTATTATTATTTATTATTTTATTATGAATTAAAACATTCCAATAGGTATAAGGGTATATTTGTCCAAGACACACATAATTAGTCCTATGGAAATATAGTTTATTTTTTGGTCCTATTTGTGCAAAGTGAATGACTTTTGAGCCTATTTTGATAATTAACTCTAAATCTAATAATTAGAAATATCATGGAAATAGTAAAGTAAAATATGTGCAATCAACTACAAGTTGTTTGGGTTATTTTATATTTATAAAATTTATGTGATGGAACAAAACTTGATTTATAGAAAGGAGTTTAATGTATTATATCAACCTCATGTACAATATTTATTACTTCTTTTCCGTTGATTAAATTAGAATTGTTAGTTAAATATCTTATAGATGTCTCCCTGGTGTCGTTGACAGGAAAAAGTTAAATATCTTATATTGTTTTATTATTGTTGTTGTGGTGGTGGTTATTATTATTATTATTATTATTATTGTTACTACTACTAATAATATTATTTTATTTTTTAATTTTTTTAATAACGGTTCCTTAACAGTTCCATGCATATATTTTTTATAGGAACCAAGAATCGAACTGTTATAACCCGCTTCGGTTCGGTTCCTACAAATGAGGCATTAATTGTTAACGGTTCGGTTCCTAGATGTTGTTAACGGTTCGGGCCCGAGCACGGGTATGCTTGAGCTTGAGCTTGATAAGAATTCACGAGCTCGAGCTTGGACGAGTTAAATATTTCGAGTTCGATCTCGAGCCGAGCTCAGCTCGAGCTGTATTCGAGCTTGATTCGAGCTCTGGTCAAGTTTCGCTAATTAATTTTTATAGATTTGAACTTGAATTAGATGCTCGAACTCGAGCTAAAAATATTATAGGTGTACTTTTTCATTCTCATTTTTAGGTTATTTCTTATTTACTAACATTTGTATTCTTATTTTATTGTCAATAAATATTAAGAGTACATATTATAATTATTACAGATTATGAGTATAATAATAATACTACACACATGTTATTATTTTTGTAATTATTACTATTTATAATATACTCCATCTGTGATAAGTATTGAAATGGAATAGTCCTAAATTGGAATATATATTTCAAAAAGTGTATATATATAATTATTACATATATATTTATTATATATAAAATATGACACAAAGGCTCGCGAACCGGCTCGCGAGCAACGAGTCTAAAATAAATAGGCTTGAATTGAGCTTGTTAACTATTCGAGTCGAGCCGAACTCGAGCCGAGCTTAATATGACCGAACTCGAGTCGAACTTTTCCCGAGCGATCCACGAGCGGCTCGCGAGCGGCTTGGCTCATTTACACCCCTAGTTCCAATCGGTTTTACGGTTCCCGGTTCCAAAATCCCACCCTACAACGACGCCCCATTTATCCGAGGTGGTGTATGTTGGGAGGATTTCACTTGATGTGTTCTACTCCCTCCGTCCCAGAAAATTCTTCCTAGTTTGACTTGGATCGGAGTTTAAGAAAGTGGGAATAAAGTGGAAATGTGTGGTTGTAGTTGTGTAAGAAAAAGGTGAAATGAATCTGAGCCACACAAATAATCAAAAAGGTGAAGTTGGAAGAATTTTCTGGGACGTCCCAAAAAGGAAAGTTGGAAGAATTTTATGGGACGGAGGGAGTACATCTTAATGAGCAACAAATGATAAATTATTGTCTCAAAGAATAGAGAGCTAGAGAGAGAAAATTATAGCATAAATGATAACTCATCTCTTACATGGCTCCAAAAGGGAGTATTATAAAGAAAACAAGGGTTGTGCTTCCAGGCTTGGGTCTGCAGACACAATTATAATAAAAAACTAATAAATGATATAAAATATATTCTATTCCAATGGGTATATATGAAAAAAAATATAGTGTACAACAATGTGAATGTTATCTATTGAGTGCGCATGGCCACTGTTCGGGCCCAATAGTCATAAGACCGTGATTTGAGTCCACATACTTTATTACTCACCATGATAGGTACAAGTAAACTTAAATGCATACAAACTCCTTGCCAAAGCTGAGTATAATCCTAACAAACATAAATTGGAGAAACTCATTAGACAAGCTAGCGAAAAAAATCTTTGAATTTAAATTTTTATGGACTTTAGATTAAGAAATTCTACACAATTCATATGCAACGCACTCCTCTAAAGACGTTTTTACTTGGACTATAATCTGTATCAGACCAGACCAGACATGATCATATCATATCAGATCAGACCAGACCATACTTAGATAGTTATAAAAATACAAAGAAATCAGACCAGACCAACCCAGAACAGACCAGACCAGCAAATTACAGTCCAAGTAAAAACATTTATGTAGAATAAGAATGATTTTTTGTAATTAACCACGGGATCTACAAGAGCGTATTCATAAATACGGAGTATGTACAGTAGTATATTTCATTTCAAAGTAAAGATTATACGGAGTAGAGGTGCCAAATCAAAATTCCGAAAACTGATTAATTTTCCGAGCGCACTCTAAAAAGCGCGAATCAAAATTCTGAATAGTTAATCCTCTACGTTCATTTTTCGTCTTGTTTAAATCTCCCTATCCAACGTCTGACCATCTTCCAGCTCATCGATCCGCGCACGCGTCACTAACCCAATTACATTTCAGTCATATCTCCTATATAATCTTCTCACGGAACACAACAACCATCGTCCTCAATCGCCCAATTCCCTTCTCTGCAAATTAAGCTTCACTACTCTTTTATTTCATTCCTACTGCGATAACGATGGCGCCAAAGGCAACGGCAGACAAGAAGGTCGCCGAGAAGAAACCGGCGGAGGAGAAGAAGACCGTCCCCGCCGACAAGGCACCCGCAGCAGAAAAGAAGCCATCCAAGGCCGGGAAGAAGGTCCCCAAGGAAGGCGGCGCCGCCGGCGACAAGAAGAAGAAGAGGCCAAAGAAGAGCGTCGAGACCTACAAGATCTACATCTTTAAGGTCCTGAAGCAAGTTCATCCGGACATCGGGATCTCCAGCAAGGCCATGGGGATCATGAACAGCTTCATCAACGACATCTTCGAGAAGCTGGCTCAGGAGTCGTCCAGGCTTGCCCGGTATAATAAGAAGCCGACCATCACCTCCAGGGAGATTCAGACGGCGGTGAGGCTTGTACTGCCCGGAGAATTGGCCAAGCACGCTGTCTCAGAGGGGACGAAGGCGGTGACTAAGTTTACAAGCAGTTGAAGAACAGTTTAGATTGATGGATCTAGGCGATGTATTTTTAAAATTAGGGTTTGCTAGCATGAAGTGTGCTTCTTTTGGAAGCAGTTGGATGTCAATGTTTTCTGTTTGCTCAAGTGATGAAATTAAATATAATTCTCTGTTCATTCAAACATTCAGCATTTCATGATCAGCGTAGTTTGCTCTTCCCATTTGCCTAAAATCAGCAGCCTGGGGATTTTTTTAAATCGATTATTTTGTTTTTTTGGCTACTTATCATCTCTTATTCATGAAGATTGAGTACTGAACTGGTAACAACTAATCAGCATGCGGTAATCTGTCATAATATTACAAAAATTGCATTTCTTTCATCTTTCGTGATTGTTTTGAAACATTGTCTTGGGTTTCAATTTGGTACCTTGCACAAAGAATGCTCTTTTCTATGACATTAGAATGTGAATTTCTTCCACTACGTTTTGCTGTCTGCCATGGACTTCGATTGAGATGAAAGCATACAAGAGCATTTCGGCTGCAAATTGATGAAGTGGACCAAAAAATTCGTAGCCAATCCTTACACTTGCTCAAGTGCTGCATTGCCTGTCAAAAGCATAGGTCCAATTACCCCCAATTTTATCTGTTTTGTTGTAGTTATTTTTGCCAACCCTTTCACCCAGTGGAGGAGCTGGGGGGGGGGGGCAAGCGCCCCCGCTCCGACCAATTTTTTTTACTAGTATTACTTATAATACTCGTATGTTTCTTGCCCCATCTTCTTTTTTTTTTAAAAACAATAAGTACAACTTAAGGTTATTTTAAGATTAAGTGTTAATTCTTCAATTGTTCCTAATCAGTCTATCTCCGGTGTTGGAAATGCCACTGCGTCAAATGAAAATATTACTAGAGATGAGAGGGACAAGAGAGCCCGAACAGAAAGTACACATGAATGCGATATTATTAGTGATCCATTTTTTCGAAAACCAATTAATGAATATGCGCCGGGGGTTAGGGATGATGTGATGAGAGCATATGTTGTTAAAGGTGCTTGTCAACCAGCATCTCATAAGTTTCCATGAACTGAATTTGGAAAGTCATTAAGGAGCTTTCGAGGAGAGTGGTTTAAAACTTGGGAATGGTTGGAATATAGTATTTCTGAAGATGCTGCTTTCTGTTTTTGGTGTTACCCTTTTCATGGGCAAGAAGGAAAGAGATTTGGTGATGATGTGTTTGTGAGCACCGGATTCCGTAACTGGAAGAAGGCTCCCCAGTCTTGCGGAGTTGTATTCATTTGATTTTTCAGCCGTTGAGCAAATGGAGCTTAAAGAACAACTCCAAGTTTGGATATATGAGATGAGAGGGAATGAAGCATTTTCCACTTTACAAAGTATTGGTGAAGTGTCTAAAAAGATGGTTGAGCTTACAATTCACAAATCTTTTCACTTGGTCAATCGTCTTATTGAGTTGGCTCTAGTGTTACCAGTTGCAACAGCAACAGTTGAAAGAGCTTTCTCAGTGATGAATATTATCAAGACAGATCTTCGCAATAAGATGGGAGATGACTATCTTACGGATTGTTTAGTATGCTACATCGAAAGAGACATTTTTCAAGCAATTGATAATGAAGCTATTATGCAGCATTTTCAAAATATGAAACTCGTAGGATTGATTTGCCTACGTTGCAAAAGTAAATCAAGTAGTATGTAATGAACTATAATTTTTTTGCTAATTTATTACGCTATTGTTGTTCTTATTATATTTTGGATTGCACTTTAAAATTTTTAGTCTTTAGTTTGCCCCTCCTTGGACAAACCTCTGGCTCCGCCACTGCTTTCACCGATGACCAAACTCAACAAACCTAACCATTTGAATAAAATGACTAACCATACCAAACGAGCATCGTTTTACATTGTACTCCATTTTTTTAAAATTGTTTTGCAAAGTTAACATTTTTTTGGTAAATCAATAATAAAAGTCAATCCTCTCTATCGATATTTAATTCAATTTTTAATAATTAAAATTTACATATTTAGAAACTACATTGAAATCTGTTCAAAGTTGCAAACTCCACATTAGAATATAATTAAAAAATGACATCCTAAGCGAATAAAATGAAACTGTTTAACCAAGAAAAGACAAATTTACAAATCAATTCCGGACGGAGTAGATCGCAAAACATATCATAGCTATAATACTCCGTATTGCAATTGAAGTCTGGAGCACAATAGTAGCATACCACATTTACGGTGTGGTTTCAAAAAGAGAGAATTCCCTAAATAGGAGTAAAAAAGTTTTGAAATTCCAAAATAGGAGTATCATGTTTTTATTCCCTAAATAGGAGTAAATTTCTGCCAAGTTTGGAAATTACAAGGCTTTAAACATGGCATTTTTTTTCCAAACTTGGCAGATTACTCCTATTTAGGGAATAAAAAACATGATACTCCTATTTTGGAATTTCAAAACGTTTTTACTCCTATTTAGGGTAATTTCTGTTTCAAAAATTCACCCATAAAACCACAACATAACCGCAAGTAATGGTGGATTCGGGCCGGGTCGGGTCCGGGCCAAGGCCTAAGCCCAGGCGGGCCGCCGGTTCTGAATAGTTCGGCCTGGGACGGGCCCGGGTAGCTACCGGGTCCGGGCCGGGCCTCGGACCTTTTTTTGCCTTTTCTAATTAACCCCCGACCCCCCTCACCCCCCCCCCCCCCCCCAAAAAAAACAACCAGCCCAACCCGTTGGAAAAAAATGAAAAAAAAAAATGATTTTAGCCGGGTCTCATTTTGAATGAACCGTGCCCGGAACCGTCTCCCCCTCAGGCCGGGTCAAAGCCCGGTACCCGGACCGGTGAACCGGGCCAGTCCCGGGCCCGCACAGTAGCAGGGTCGGGCTGGGTGGTCCGACCCGAGTCCACCACTAACCGCAACAAACCCGCACCAAGACGTGACACTATTTGAAGCTACAATTATTTATTTAAACTGTGTTGTCCATTTTATTTTTGTGTCTTTATATTTTTATAGTAAAACCGGAGTTGTATTCTTTATTTCAAATAACATATTAAAAATTTAAAACAAATATATGATCTAGTCTGGTCTTGTCTAATCTGATCCGATATGATCTAGGTGTATTTTGCAATTATTGAAATCTAATCTGGTTTGAGTCTGTTCAACTCTGATATAAGATCGAAATAAGTCCAGTAAAACCATGTTGGCATGTTTTCTCTAAGAGATTATTGATGTATTTTTTTTGAGAATATTATTGATGTATTTTATGTAGTGATAAAGTAACATCTACTCGAGTCATGGCGACCCTGGTTGATTTTTTTGGGTTTGGTAACAATTACACTTATAAGATATAAATGATAACTCACTTTTAATGGCATCATTTTCTAATTGGTATGTTCATTGTTTTTTTTTATTACTTTGAAAACATTGAACGAATTCACAGGAATGCCCACATAACATATCTCAGCAGCTAAACGCAGTGAGGGGACTGAGGGCAACTCCAACCGCGATTTATGACCATTGGTACGAACCGTACGACTACTACGATATGCCATTCAATATTTCAAAACAGACAAATTCCCAATGGTCGGCTGGTCGAGTTCTCAAATAGCTGGCGCACGAAAAGTACCTTAAATTTAAGTTGAGTTAAAATACGAAATAAAACCTTATTAATGCAGGCATATTGTTGGACAAGGACTTCAACCACTTCTCACCATTAAGAGTACAAAATATTTAGAAGTTCACCATTAATATATGCCGAAGCAAGACTACAAACATAACAAGCAATAATAGAAGATGGGGGCATACAAATACTTGAAAGAGTTTCAGGATGCTGCATTCCTCGCTAAGTCTTGCAGCACATTTGCAATCTGTTGTTCTGATAAGCCTTCCACTTGGAACCCCTTTTCAACTCCCATATCTGTACTCATAAGAAATAATTCCCTTTAGTTCGAGCTTCAGAAAGAAATATCACAAGAAGCTACACATTGAAGGGAAAATGCCAAGGAAAGATAAATGACGAAATATAGAGCATTGAAGGAATGAAAATGGGTGGGGGAGGGGATAAACTTTTGTTAAACTAAACATTTTTGCCATATTAGCTTGAACTCATTTTATTTACTACATATTTATTTATGTGTACTGTATAGAGACCAAGAAGTCTAAGTATATACGTAGTAGAAAATTTTAAAAAGCGTTAATCATATTACTTTTCCGAGCAAAAACCAATCACATGAAATAACTTCTCATAGCATTCCCCCCCTTCACCATAAGAAAATAGAGATGGAGGGGAGACCAAACCTATACCCCTGAGAGGGCATACCTCCCAGTTCCCGAAAACCACCAGACATAAGTCATAGAGCACAGTGGAATGTGGATTAAGGACCTTCAATCTTCAAGTATTACTTGGATATACAAATCAGATCCTATTATCAGCCAGGTTTGAGGTTTAAACTACCTAGAATGCAAACTGATATGTTGCGTGTTTATCCAGCTGCAGTAACCTGGTTTGTTGTACACATGGTACAGCAACATTAAGGCTAAACTAATGGAAAATAAAAGCAGATCCTAGAATCAAATTAAACATAGCATATTTGCTAAGATCCCCCAAATGGCCAAACCTCTATGCTTTGGCTGTTTTACCAGCTTGCCTCGTGCACAATTTAGGATTGGTCACCTTTCTTCCACGACCTTTAACCTTCTCTTATTTTCAGCTATGAACTTTCTGGTTATCTTCCATGACATTTAACTTTCTCTTATTTTAAGCAATGAACGTTCTGGTAATTTGAGCACTTAAGTTTCTAAATTCTCCAGCTTTCTCATTGGGATCCTTCTTTTCACCATCGAATAAGAGCTTTCAGTATCCAAATAGCGAAAATGACCTTGAAGGATCTAAACTGGACTGTCAAAGTTTTCCACTTTTCTGGTAGCCTACTGAAACCATCTTTCTGCAAATGAGGACCAGATACATTTTTCTCCAATTAACTGCCATCAACTTTTTGACCTCAAGGATTAGGAGCCTTTTTATTCTCCGTATCTCCAAAACGTACTGAATTTCATGGGATTTTGACTGTCATAGTTCCAACTTCCAACTGATAGCTATGTTATTTAATCAAACATGCATAGTTACTCACCGAGTACATGAATAGTACTTACTACTCGGCCCTATACCTTGTTGAGTTATCTACCTATCCATCTGAACCAAATAACAGAGTTACTTGGAGAGCACTCTGCAATTCTAGTGAC